GTGAGCATCTTGAGTTGCCATGATTGCTCCAGAGCCACCCTTTTTGGCTTCCCCTGCAGAGTCTCCAGAAAACTATAACAGGTCAAACCATTGGAGTGGTCTGTGGAGCTTTACACTTGGACCCCAGTACCAGGAATGTACTTGGCTCTTTGACATTAAGATACCAGGTATATTCCAACTTGGATGAAGTCTCCCTTGTCTTAACCAATAAATACATAAGCCCCTTCTTCTGGTCCAGATTTTGAAGCTCTACTTGGTCTTGTTTCTCTCACTAAGTTCCCCATAAACTGTACCCTGTGCAATCCCAAATCTGTCTGTTTCTCTTTCTTCAATCTCATGGTACCTTAGGCCTGGGTCTGATATACTGGCGCTTAGTTGTTCCAGAACACCACTGAAATGTTAGGTTATGCAAGTAGATGATAGATATTAAGGATTGGGAGTATAACTCAATAGGAACAGGCTTGCCTAGCATATATAAGAACTTGGGCTTCATCCCTAGTACTAAAAAAACAAAACAAGCAAACAAAAAAACCCCACAAAAATATCAAGGGCCTGGCTGTGATCAGCCATACCTGGTTCCAGTGCTGTTTCTCAAACGTATTAATAGCAAATCAGACAGAAACTTGACTGAATTTCTCCAAACCTTTCAAGAAGAGGACAATCATGGTTCCTACCTTGTAGTATTAAGGTGGAGACTAAAGGAGAGCATATGAGGTGGTTGGCCACAGCACCTAGCTCCTGGGGCTCAACAAATGTTAACTACCACTATTTAATGACAAAGACAAGCATTTCTTTTAAAAGTGCATTATATTCTTCATTGCCTTCTTTAATGGAGTACAATGACCAATGTTAACCATTTTCTCAGAAACTCAGTCACTTCCTTTTAAAAATTGGCTCTGACCTCATAATTATGAGCAATAAAGTACTGAGAAGCTTCAGGAACCTAAGTAAGGTTCTTCTACTTTTTTTGCCCCCCGCTATAAAACTGATGGCCTGGATGTGGTCCACATGTTCTTAAGGAAAGGTTCAATTTCTAGCACAATAAAAACAAAAATCAAAAACACTCCCTCCAAAAAGAAGCTGTTCTCAAGTGACCCAAACTGAATAGGTTATTCCTTTCCTTCTGGACCCCTAACAGACTCATTATACATTTCATAGAGAACCAAGGAGCCTAATAGCATTCAACATTATTTAGAAAACCCTATTTATTCAATTGGTTCATTTGTCCATTGTGCTCTCTCACACTAGAACATAAGCACAGTCCCCGGCACATTGAAGGTGTTGGTCCTGGTCAGGTCTTCTCAAAAGCAGACTCTAAACTGCACCTATGAGTTTGCACAGGAAGTGCTGCGGACTCCAGGAGGCAGTGCTGGGGGAGAGGAGGGAGAAGCCAAGCAAGGGCACAGGTCAGAAAAAGCCCCAGTCCTAGCCTGGTCATGTGGAATCCCTGAGCATAAATCTCATCTCAGAGGTGGGTTCTTCTCCAGCCAAGGTAACTGGTATACTGGACGTCACCTCCCACATCACCATCACCAGTCCGTCAGAGGCAGGTAAGGCCACTGAGGAGGGAGACTTTCACAAAAGTCCGTTAATGGACAGGGTAGATTTGGACAGTGGTCAGACCTCTGGAGAAGGGCAAAGTAGCAACGTGCACAGAAGTTGGCAGATGTACGTGGAGAACACAGCCGGTCTGTGGCAGTGTGGGAAGGTGTCCTAGTTTTCCTTAAGGTTCTCGTTAGACATGTGGTAAGTGAATAAACGAATGAGTTAAAGCCCCCAGCTCTTCTTCGTAGCGCATGGTTTTCCATTTCATATGTTGTGTATTTATATCTTAAGTGTTTATAGACTGAATTTTGGTAAAGAAACTTGCTCGACAAGAAAGCAAATTTTTCTTTCTTTAGGACACTGTGCCTTATTAAGTAAGATTCCCCAGGAACCAATTGGAGAGGTAAGTAGATGGGCAAATGATAAACAGATGCTAGGTAGACAAATGATAGATGAGAGATAGATACATAGAGAGATAACAGATGAGATTCGACATGACATTTGATTTACACAATTATGGAGGCTAAGAAGTTCCATAATTAGTTGCACACAAGCTGGAGGCTCAGAAAAGTGGGTGGTGTAATTCACTTTGAGTCCAAGCTATGAGAGCCTGGCTGGGGTGGAAGGGTGGGTGCTGGTGTAAGTCAGGTAGTCCAGAGCCCCAGAACCTGGAATTATGATGCCCGAAGGCAAGATTTCAGCTCCAGAAGAAAGAACAAACTCACTCTTACCACAT